AAAAGAAAAGAAAAAAAGAATAAAAGAGTAAAAGCGCAATGGAAACTAACTGCTTCGCCTAACGGAGGCTAAGTGAGGCAGGGCCTGCAGGGAGTACCTCCGAGTTATCTCATTCAAACTATCTGCTAGTAGCAGCAGCAGCAGCAGCAGCAGCAGCAGCAGCAGCAGCAGCAGCAGCGGGAAAAGGCTGTCCTCTTACCAATGAACTTCTGCGGCATCGAGCTCTTTCGTTTTGCCACATTGCTTGCTAATCTGTCCAGAACCAGGGCTCTTTCACTTCCCATCTCTGCTTTGATGTGTCTTGCCTCTGCACTTGCTGGTTTGGAAAAATATGAAAAGAAGAGAGAGAGAAAAAAAGAACACGTTGGTAAAGGAGAAAATAAAATTGTCCAGAAGGAGAGGGAGCCGAGCTCTGCCGCTGTTACCTGTTATTCCCACTCAGATCCCCGGATACCTGCCCTGGTCAGCGGTCAGCGAGGCCGACGCCAGGGCACATGCAAATCTTGCAGTCTTGAGCCAATGGGAAAGCCCAGCCCAGCCCAGCCCCAGCCAGCGCCTTCATTAGCAAGAGGAAGTATTGAAGAAACAGGCTGGACGTGGTTGGTTGCAGAAAGATAAATAGATGGAGACCTTCTAACCCCCATCAGCCTCCTCTCTGCTTCTGAGTAACTGCATGTAACACCTGCACACTAACATAATTCTCCTTAACAACTTTGAAAAAAAGAGCACGGTGCCCCAGATTTACTGCTCTGTTTATGTTAATAGTGCTTTTGAAAATAGACACACTCACCCGGCTAGCAGGGCATCTACTCAGTGATTTGTGTATTGAAATTCTGAGCATCTTTCATTCTTTCTCTTTTTAGCTCGCGCCTCTCGGTTCCTATCTTTCATATTCTGTTTCTCTGCGCTCCATGTGCTGTTTCACATCTCTTAACATTTCAAAGCCATCTCAGCTAAAATATCCCCGAGCCACACTGTGGTCTTTAGTTGAAGAAAAATTGGTATAATGCATTTCTATTCAATTTCTAACGAAAAATGTGAATCAAAACCACCCAGGAGCAGGGTGTGGCGGAGCCCGCCCGCCCGCCCGTCATCCCATCTTGCAGGAGGCCGAGGAGGGAGAGCTGCTGCACTTCCAGGCCAGCCTGGGCTGCACAGGAGTTCAGCGGCAGCCTGGGCTCTACGGCCAGACCCCATCTCAGACAAACAAACAAAATAAAAGTACTGCCCGAGAGGATGGGTGGGCTGGCAGTCTCTCTGTGGCTGGACGTTTCAGATGTGCGGGCCGTGTTCTCAGGGCTGGCCGTGTAGTAGGACAGCCTGAAGAGCGTGCAAGAAACACGACATGGGGGGCCTCACGTGGGTGCAGCCAGGCTTTCTGGAGGGAAAGCCTGGGCGTCAGGATTTTCAGTCTTCCAGGCGGCTTAAGACACATCCAGGATTGCAAATTATGTAACCGCATCCAGGCAGTGGCAACATCCAATCCACGGAAAGAGTCCATTTGGATAAATATAATTTAACTTGGTAGATGGCAGGCAGGACCCACAAGACTTCATATCTAGCTGCTGTAAATACAAGGCTTAAAACCTGGGCACAGGACACAGCATAAGCCTAGGACAAATGACTCGTTTCACTGAAAGGCCAGATAGTAAATATTTTGGGTATTATTATTTTTAATTTTAGGGAGGAGTCTACAGGGTGTCCAGGGTCGCATTACTACATTGGACTCCTAGTGATCCTGGCTGCTTACAGCCTCCCAAGAGCTGGGATTACAGGCGCACACCATGCCCAGTCTCAAGTGCTGCCTCAGAGCGCCCTGGGGCCGGGGCCAGGGATCGAGCCCCCAGCCCCCGGGCCTTCTTGCAGGTGCTTTAATCCACTGAGCGCTTTGAATATTTTGAAACTGGTGGGACACAAATTCTTTGTTCTATAGTGTGTGTGTGTGTGTGTGTGTGTGTGTGTGTGTGTGTGTGTGTATTTTCTGCCCTACATCCCTTTAAAAAATGCAAAACTGGGTGGGGTGATAGCTCAGTACAACAAGTGCTTGCCTGGCAAGTGCAGGGACCTGAGTTCAATCCCCAGTTCCGAAAAAAAAAAAAAAAAAAAAAAAAAAAAAAAAAGTTTAACTCCCTATACACAAACTGGCTGTGGCTGTTTTTGGCCAGAAGGTCATAATCCTGCCCCTGCCCCCTAGAAGCACACATCTCCGTTTTTGTTTTTTTTTCTTTCTTCACACCGTGCCGCCCCTTCAGTGCTCTCAGCCCACAGCAGAGGCCGGGCAACGGTTCGAGGCGCACTTTGCTCCCGCATGGCACTCTATGGAAGGCCCACGTGGAATGTCTCCATTTTATCTAAGCATTTCAGGAAGTCTTCCCTAAAGTGAAGTACCCATGCATTTCTAGTGGAAAAGCACCTTGAAACTATGGGCCTAGAGTAGAAATCAGTGATGGCTGTAAAAGAGATTTAAAAAAAAATCATTTATCTATCTATCTGTCTATCTATCTATCTATCTATCTATCTATCTATCTATCTATCTGGTACAGGGTCTCACTACACAGCTCACACTGGTAGTGATCCTCCTGTCTCAGCCTCCCCAGCACTGGGAGGACAGGCGTGCGCCACTGCGCCCGGCTTCAGGGGCCAGCATGGTGCGCCCAGGGCTCAGGGGCCGGCGTGGTGCGCCCAGGGCTCAGGGGCCGGCGTGGTGCACCCAGGGCTCAGGGGCCGGCGTGGCATGTGGACTGGGGCTGAGGCCTCAGATCACTGAGCCGTCTCCCCAGCCCCGAGGAGAGGTGCATGCATTGTTCTGGGAGCTGCGGGGCTCACTGTACGAGGTAGAGTCAGACGTATTGGCCATGCGACACAATAAAGTCACAGGTTCTGTGGTCTGTCTGACAGCAGGTGCTACACATGGGCATTCCCAGTGAAAAGAACATGGGCAACTTCTGCAGTGAAGTTGAGCTCCAGGGTAAGACCCAAAACCAAATTAGAAAGGGACAATTCAAAGTATTAATTTTTAAAATTTTGTATCAGCATTAAAAAGAAAAAAACATATATGCCAGTCATTACAGAATACATTCTAAAGCTTCTTGGGGTGTGTGTCCTAGGGAATAAAAGAAGAGGATGGTGACATGTGAGTGTTTACCAGACTTCCTTTCTAGTCAAAGACAATCCTGACACTAGAGGACTAAGCCAGAGCCTCTAGTCTCAGCTTGTTGACTTTCTGTAAAGGGACAACAGGAAGGGTCAGCGGCAGGGACCCCCGCAGGGCTTGGACTCGTGCTTGGGCCCAGGGTCCTGGGTGACAGGACACCACGAGTGAGTGGAGTGCGTCAAATTCTGTCCAGCCCCGGACAGCTTTAAATGACCAAACAGGAAACTATTATTTATATTATTTCCTTTTACACAAACCGCCACCAGATGTGGCACTACCCTGAGCCCCGAAGCAGAGAGATGAAAGGCAAAGCCTGGAATCTAAAGTCGGTTTCTGAAGCTGTTAGGGCGATTTTTTTTTTTCCTTCTCAGAAGCAGGGTGCAGGCAGTTAACTCTGGGCTAGGCTAGGAGTATTCCCTTTGACTTGAGCGATTCTGAGAGGCTCACATCCTGGGGCAGCTGCCCTCCCTCCTGTATTTACTACTGGAAACAGGAATAGCAAGCAGCATTTGGACGTTTCGCCCCCACAGCACCACGACTCTTGGTAAGGCTCCTGCAGACAGCCCACTGGGGGCCAAATGCCTGTGGAGGACTCACCCAGGCACTGTGCTGACGCCTCATCTCCCCACCTGTCTCTCAGCCGTCCCTGCCTACATTTTACCAAGGTCCCCCTCAGTGACAACAAGCAGCCTTCTGAGGACACGTAATCAACATCCTCTCATTCGGGAGGATGCTGAAGCGTGGACACATTGACCTAAATAACCGTAATTAGGGCATGTCACTAAATGGCAACCTCCTGAGATAACATCGTCCTTATTCCTGTTACCCACCGAGCCGGGCTTGACAGTCATTTCCAGACACCTCTGACTGCACGCGGTGGCCGAGGGCCTGACATTTAGGAGAATCACATTCCGAGTGCTCATGGGTGGACAGACCGCTTGAAGCGCGGGGAGGGTTTCCCGCCTCCGAACTCCACTTGGGCTTGAGGAAATTCTGACTGGAATCCAGGGACCCTTGTTCGCCCCCATCTTCTGCCTGCCTGACTCACTAGAGACAAGAGCTCCAAGCTCCCATCCTTGTCGTGCCTGGGTACCTGCTGTAGGCTCAGGCCCCTTGCACGGGGCGGGGCTCCGTCGGTGAATTAGGCAAAAGCCTGATTTATGATGGAACCTGGTGCACTCTCGCTCTCTTTGCCAAACTGCTAGTCTTTTTCCTCACAATTGGACACCTGACATGTGAAATCACTAAAAAAACACTTTTTTGGGGTGGTGGTGGTACTGGGGATTGAACTCAGAGCCTTCACAATGAGCTATATCCCAAGTGCATTTTTTTTTTTTTTTTTTTTTTTTTTTTTTTTTTTTTTTTTTTTTTTTTTTTTTTTTTTTTTTTTTTTTTTGGTGGTACCAGGGATTGAACTCAGGCCCTTGCGCTTGCCAGGTAAGTGCTTATTCTACTGAGCCATCTCCCCAGCCCCCCGCAAGTGCATTTTTAATTTTTTATTTTCACACAGGGTCTCACTAAGTTGCCTGGCCTGTGATTAAATTCGCAACCCTCCTGCCTCAGCCTCCCAGAGTGCTAGGACTCCAGGCCTGTCACCGACACTGTTTAGCTCATAGTTGGATAGTCTCTTTCAGATTAGAAAGGACTTTGGGCTGCACACTGAAATGACCAAAAAGGAAGACTGCGGGCTTTTGGCCCCTGCTCAGACTTCAGCCCTCCTGTCTATTTACACCCAGCCCAGGCTCACAGCCTTGTTGCATCATGTGTTTAGCGCGTAAGTAGAAGGAAGCCAGTTTGAAAAGATAGTAAGGACACAAGATAATGGGCTTAAGTGACGAAATAGGAAATCCGTTCCTGGGTGGCGTTCGGTGGTTAGTGCCGCAGGGCCGAGCTGGGGACGCGGGATGGCTGCAGGCAACATTCGCACTCAGCCTTAGCGCAGCACGGACTGAGGACTCCGACTCGGGATCTGCCCCGCTTGATGTCACTTGTATGTCCCGTGGATGTGCCCACGGTCATCAGCAAAGGGATTTTATTATTATTATTTATTTGTCTTTCTGAGACAGGGTCTCAAAATGCAGTTCGGGCTGGCCTGAGCTCACTCACAATGATCCTCCTGCCTCAGCCTCCTGCGTGCTGGGGTGACAGGGGGCGCCACCATG